GCATTGACAACAAATATATATAAGCAGGTAGGTATAAAGTATTCCGACTTGCAAAAAAGGAAGTTTGTTATATAGTTTCAGTGCTTAATTGACTTGTTTCAAGGAAGAACTGATTTTGTTGACTAATTTACATTCAGACACTGAAAGAAACAGTTTCAGACAACATTGAGATGTTTTGATTTAAAGAATTTTAATTTTCAGAAAACTTACAAAAGTTCCATCATCTACGTTCTTTCCTCTAAAACTATTTAGCAAACTATATTTGACTATTTTCGAGACACAGGAAAATGAAGATCACAGTTCCTTTTTTAATGATTTGAGTAGAGATTTATTCAAATATCTACATTGTACTGTTCTTTTGTGCAAAGTTATGAAATTTCTAGCTTTCAATAATCTGCCTTCCTCTGTCATTAACGATGAGCAGAAGCTCAAAACCTCGACACACAACACTATACCATGAATAACCATGGACGAAACCTCTCTATCTGTATTTGTCTTGTATTAAGAGTTACTCAACTAAATTCAAATTTGTATTGCCACACTATACCTTTTATATTGATGTCTCATCAAAGACTGGAATATTTCACGAAGACTTATAGATGAACTTCAGATGGGAGTTGTTCTTTTGAAGACCGATGCGCTAACACGAAGGCAATGTACTGACGACTAGTCAAATGACTCGGGGTGTTTCCCAAATAAACTATAAACGCAGATTATGTCAGAATATATTAACTAAGTATCAGTCGTTGGAAACAGTCATGAATGGATGACCATATTGTTATGGAAGACTGCAGCATAGAATCTTGTTAGATATAGGTCTAGATATGTCTCTGTCKCTGGATATCATGYGGTTGCTATAATCTTGTATAATCTTGTAGCAGGAGAARGCTGCAACTTTTSTTCTACTTTATAACTGTTCTTTAAGATTTTCTTTCTGGGAATGGGATTCTAAACTGAGATTCTCTGACAAGCAAATGAAGACCTTCCTTAGCTCTGCTCTTACCTTTAAAAGATAGTTCAGCGCAATTTGATTTTATTATAAGTACAGAATCACACAAGTCATTGATGGGGTGTGTTGGTTTCAATCGTTAATGTGCACAGTCATGGAAGTCACATGATCTTTATCATAAAAGCCCCTAAAACCTGTTTTAAAAACCGGTTTTTGAAAAGCGTTGTCACTTAGAGTGTGGGTCACATATTTTTTGCTGACATATCCCTAAAAGCCCTAATAAAAAAAATGAAAGATAAATAAAGTAATGGGAAAAAAGACCAAAAAAATAGAGCAACAACTAAAAAGTACTGATTGATTTATTACAATTATGGCCGCCATCTTGAATTCTATGATTAATTTTCAGTATCGATGTACTAAGGAACTGATTTTCAGTATCGATGTGGTAAGGAACTATGGTATGCCCCGGTACGAAATAAACTGTACGGCTCTTAGAATGCTATGAAAATTTTTTTTGGAAGCACGACTTATGTATCAAGTTGCCTCCTATATGACAAGTTGGGATAAAAGACAGTGTAAAAAGTACTTTTCCTTCGTAGAAATTAATGATTTATTGATATTCAGTCAGAATTCAATATTGCGGTCGTATGTGACAAGGTGGTGCGGTTCACGCTACGATGTAAACATATAAGCACTAAAAACACACAAACAAATGAAAACAACAACAACARAACAATAGAATTASAGACAGAAGGGACGAACAGTAATTTAAATTCAACGAATTTCAAAACCAAAAGGAGTAATCATTGTTTTTTTCCTACTGTTTCTGATTTTCTTCCAGCCAGGCCTTTATGCAAAATGTCAGACTTTTACTSTACAGTTTGATTTTTATTTCTTGTTTTTACATGTCTTTCACTAATATTTGTACAAAATTATAAAAATAGATTATCAATTTGAAAAATATTTAAAGCAATTAAAAAATATACGTTATTGACGTACAGGGAATTCCATTAACGTTATTCACTTGTAAAGACATGAAGACAATACATTCATTTGCATAAAAAAGAACTTTTAGAGCTTTATCTTGAATGTTCTCGCAAAAAAATCAAAAAACACGATATATGCAAATGACTTTGTTGTTGTGTCATGTCTTTACAACTGAACAACGTTATTGGGATTAGCTGGTCACTAACGGACCAGTTTCGCGAATTTGCACAGGACGACGTCTAGAAAACTTGACAAGTGTTTTAACACCTAATAGAGTTAATTATTAACCTTACTGGGGAAAAAAATATCAGCTCCAATGCCTGCCAGCAAAAAAAAATATCGAAATTACCAGCCAGGAATCAGTATACGTTAAAAAACGGTTTCCCAGCCAGCATCTATACTAATATTCTATTTTCCCAGCCAGGAATTTAAGAATCATTTCCCAGCCAGGATTCTATTCTAAAATTGTTTTCCACCCATGGCAACCGTTATTTTTGTTTTGTCAGCTAGATTGATTGAAATGGGTATCCTATCTTTCATATTCGTTTTGGTTTGGTTTGGTTTGGTTTGGTTTGGTTTGGTTTGGTTTGGTTTGGTTTGGTTTGGTTTGGTTTGGTTTGGTTTNCAAATAGTTTGTGACTGGAGTGGCAAGCAAATACGCAAGGTGTCAACGTTTAAGTCCAATGGCGTTGATTTCACTTGCGGAAAAGTATTGAATTACCCTGGTTGTTGCTATCTTATCCCTGATCACTTACGATGCACTGGATCGTTCCCTGGTAAGTAATGATAACCTAGGGTAATTATAACTTATTTGCTGTTTGGTTTGGTTTGGTTTGGTTTGGTTTGGTTTGGTTTGGTTTGGTTTGGTTTGGTTTGGTTTGGTTTGGTTTGGTTTGGTTTGGTTTGGTTTGATTTTAACTAAGCGTTTGGAATCCGATTTTGGAAAATTAAGTGATAGTTAAAATACGTGCGAGGCACATCGCACTGTATGTTTAATAATCTGGATATTATTACACTAGTGCAGAAGTAATCTTAAAGTGATTAAAACCAGAAAACTGCAGGTTACCTATAATAACCAGAAGGTTAACTAATGACAGATACTGGCCATTTAATAAAATTAAATTTAGAGCTTAGAAAAATTAAGATTATAAGTAAAAATACCTTTAATGTGTTCGCTAGGAAATTTTCAAAACATTACTGCAGTCTCCAATACATATGTCTTTAAACTATGTTGGAATTAACCGATTTTTTTAGAACTTCTTGTCAACAGATATCAACCATAATCACCTATACTGTGAAATTCCTAAGAACGTAGGGAGAGCCTGAAATTTTTTGATGTTAAAACATAGTACATTGATTTAAAATAATCTATAATTCAATATTTTTCTTCTCTACATTCATCAAATGTACCCTACGCTCCTGAAATTAATCCCACATATATCATTATAGTAATCGTATCATTTCTAACTTAAAGGTCAATAATTGATAGTAAATGCCAGGTAAAGACACAGTTCATTGATGCATTATTGGCGGTATGTCAACAACCACGATGAACAATTGAAGTCTTGAAGATTAAAAAGGGCAAGGAAGCATGGAGTAATAAAATGCTAGGTAAAAGACACAGTTCATTGATACATTATTGGTGAAATGTCAGTAATCACGATGAACAATTGAAGGCTTGAAAATGAAAAACGCAAAGAAGCGTGGAGTAATAAAATGCCAGGTAAAGGCACAGTTCATTGATACATTATTGGCGGTATGTCAGCAATCACGATGAACAATTGAAGGCTTGAAAATGAAAAACGCAAAGAAGCATGGAGTAATAAAATGCCAGGTAAAGGCACAATTCATTGATACATTATTGGTGGAATGTCAGAAAACACGATGAACAGTTGAAGGCTTGAAGATTACAAAAGGCAAAGAAGCATGGAGTAATAAAATGCCAGGTAAAGTCACAGTTCATTGATACATTATTGATGGAATGTCAGCAAACACGATGAACAGTTGAAGGCTTGAAGATTACAAAAGGCAAAGAAGCATGGAGTAATAAAATGNAACTTGTAGCCACTTCAGGGTGATTGTCTCCGTACGTTCTTTTTCTTATGGCAAGTGCTTTTTCGTGATACTCCTTTGCTTTTTTATAACTTCCAAGATTACTCAATGCTGATCCTAGATTACTTAAAATTGTAGCCACTGATGGGTGATTTTCTCCGTACGTGCTTTTGTAGATAGCGATCGCTTTTTGAAAATATTCTTTGGCTTCTACAAATTTGTTTAGGTGCGACAGCAATGTTCCTAAGTTATTTAAACTTGTAGCCACTTCAGTGTGAGTGTTTTCGTAGGTCATCCTGGCCATTTCTAGAGATTTTTCATAACACTCCTTTGCTTCACGGTATTCACCAAGGTTTTTTAATGTGAATCCCAAATCGCTAAAGAACCATAGTTGCTCTTTAATGTTGTTTGCATTGTACATGTGCTCGTCTGAAGTTTTCGTGTCGACCTCGTTCTTCGTAGTGTCAGATTTTGTAATTGTAAGTGACATGCATATTTCTAGCAGACTTCTACATATATCATACTTTTGCTGTTCTCTCAAAACTTCATACAGACGATTCTTCAATAGTGTCATTACTTGTAGATATTGACTCGTACTCGTTCTGTTTAATTGGTAGCGTACTCCATACTTGTCCTTTTCTGCCGAAAGCAAAATTTGGCGTCGCTCGAAAAACATTTTTACTTTGTAAGACAAACTTACCACGTGCACAACAAGTTTGCCTGTAGATTTGATGTAATCAATGCTATTTTTATCCATTTTGTCAAGATATGAAAACACTTCAATCACTTTTGTTAGATACGACAATTCATCTTCTTCTTCGCTGTGTAATTCTTGGACTACTGATTGAACAACTTTGAAAACAACTTGATGGACACGAACCATTGGTTCAACTGTATTCTCAGACGTAAGGACGAGTGAGGACTTCATTATCTTTCTTGCCAATAAATTTTTGTCGGCTTCGTTAGGCATACATTTCATCACATAACTTACAACATCATCTAACGATATGAACTCTGRAGCCAAAGCAGCCARGAATTCAAAAGCATGGAGCATTACTGGACTTCTCTCTATGACATTTTGAACTGCCATCTTTACAGCTGTTGTCATCGACTTTTTATACGAGTTGTTGATTTCTTCATACATTCTTTCAGTTGACTCAATATTGGATTTTTGGATGTGCTGAAGGTATTTTTCCCATGTCATTGTAGGATCTACAATTCCAACTTCTTGAATGTATACTGCTGCACAAGCGAGAGCTAAAGGCTGGAAATCAAGCTGCTTAGCAACAGCATTCATAGTTTCTTCTTTGTTAGAACATCCAGAAATTTCACGCAATGATTCCACTGCGTCCTCGAGTTCCATACCACGGCTTAAGGCCATATGATGTGCATGTGGATCACGCAATGGTATTGACGGGCTGTCTTGCGTTGTTATTAGGATATGGCCTTTACTGTGTTGCAGATTTTCGCCTGCATGAGGGAGAAACTTTGAAACTAGTTGAAGATCTTCCACATTGTCTACAATCATCAGCCAGGAGGTGTAGCTGTGCAGTTGTATGGAGACATTTCCTCGTAGTTGAGCGAGTTTGTGTTCTTGAGAGGTGATGGTATTGATTGATGCTATGGATTCTTCGCTGCATCCAAGGTTTCTTGCCAGATCGATATATGATAGAGTTAAGGTTTCAAGATTGGATGCGTTCAGAGTCGATACGCACTTGGCTGATTCCTCAAGATCTTCAAAATATTTCTCTCCAATCTGCCTCGCAATCTCACTTTTCCCACAACCAGGATTACCAGACAAATACGTAACGGTGATTTCATGTGGAAACATTGCTTTAAGTTGCTGTATGTTGGACATTATCTCTGTTACTTCACTGGTACGGTTGATAGTTGGATGAGATGGTTTCTGAGGCAGAATGCAAAACTGTGGCAGACTTTCATCTGTTAAAATAAATTAATGTAATCGTATCATATTTGTCCTTTCAAGTCGTCTTTTAAAGAAGCTCAAAACTTGAGTAGCTTGTGGTTTTCACTGCCGCGGAAGTTTTGAATGGATGTATTTTTTGAAACGCGATTGTCACGGCGATAAATAGCGAACAATCCTTGATCGCCGCAAGGGAGCACGGCAAAATGCTGTTTATTACATTTTTTTCATGCGTTAACACGATCGATTCGTTCGCTATAGAATAACAGCCATTTTGTTTTGTAATATGGTTTTCTGCTGACCCTTAGGAATGCTGGCGAGATTCGGGGCTCGGTACTTCTCGCCCCTTTGGGGCTCGTTCGTAAATCGGCTCGCCCCTTCGGAGCTCGCCAGCATTCTTAAAGGTCAGCGGAAAACCATTTTTAAAAAGCAAAATGAACGAATCGATCAAATAAACGGATTAAAAAAGGTAATAAACAAAATTTTGACGTGCTCCCTTGATCGCCGCTACAATCGCAGAGCTTTTTAAAAGTACGAATTGAGTAGCAACAGCAAATGGCGCAACAATCGCCATTCAATTCAAAAATTGTCGTAGGACTTACTTTTAGAAGGTAATTGCATTGATAACTTATTTAGCTTTTGTATGATGATTTCCATTTTCTTTTCTTCGCCTTCTTCCCAAGATTGAAGAAGAATATTTAGGTAGGTTTCATTTTCTGGATCAATTGACCCGATTTTAAGACGCTGGATTTCTGGTTCATACTGCAATCCTCCAAGTCTTATCATTGCTGCCTCAATTTTAGCCCAGTGGGTTTCAAAATCAGCATCAGAGAGTTCTGCCTTTACGCTATAATCATGAATGATGTTATTTCGACAAAGCCTCACTCGAATCAGATCAGCCTCTATGCTTTCATCAGTTGGTAGAGGGACAGCATTCCATCCTGTCGTAGGTGGAGTCAGACCACAGGTATTCCTTAGGAGAAGGAAGAGCAATGTNATATATTAATGCGTCGTTCCAGATTATTTGAAGCAATAAGTTTTTGATACTTATTTAATTCAGACAAACAACCAAAACAGTTTCAGACATGATTGAGAACATTAAATTAATTACTGATCGTTTTCCAGAAAGCTTACTTCAATATTGAGCTCTCTATTTCTTTGCACGTATCGAGAAAACTCTCTTTAAATCGCTGTTATCATTTTGGAGAAAAAGGGAAAACGGATATTTTTTCATCTTCTTGTTGTTCGCTTGTTCTTCTTCAATGCATCCATCGCTTAGGAAAACGTTTTTCACAACAAAACGAACCAAAACCATCAGAATGGGTTCACTAGTAGAAAATTATTATGAAAAGATTGTTTTCTGGTGTTAACAGTATTTGATTTTTCACTTAAATCTTAGTGTTGTCAATCGTTCTTCTTCAATGCGTCCATCGCTTAAGATTCTGAAGTTGAAAATCATTTGGATTGTTCTTCCTTATATTTCTACTATTATTGTGCATTGACAACAAATATGTATAAGCAGGTAGGTATAAAGTATTCCGAATTGCAAAAAAGGAAGTTTGTTATATAATATCAGTGCTTAATTGACTTTTCAAGGAAGAACTGATTTTGTTGACTAATTTACATTCAGACACTGAAAGAAACAGAAGTTCAGACAACATTGAGATGTTTTGATTTAAAGAATTTTAATTTTCAGAAAACTTACAAAAGTTCCATCATCTACGTTCTTTCCTCTAAAACTATTTAGCAAACTATATTTGACTATTTTCGAGACTAGGAAAATGAAGAGCACAGTTCCTTTTTTAATGATTTAGGTAGAGATTTATTCAAATATCTACATTGTACTGTTCTTTTGTGMAAAGKTWTGAAATTTCTAGCTTTCAATAATCTGCCTTCCTCTGTCATTAACGATGAGCAGAAGCTCAAAACCTCGACGCACAACACTATACCATGAATAACCAAGGACGAAACCTCTCTATCTGTATTTGTGTTGTATCAAGAGTTACTAAACTAAATTCAAATTTGTATTGCCATACTGTACCTTTTATATTGATGTCTGATCAAAGAATATTTCACGAAGACTTATAGATGAACTTCAGATGGGAGTTGTTTTTGAAGACCGATGCGCTAACACGAAGGCAATGTACTGACGACTAGTCAAATGACTCGCGGTGTTTCCCAAATAAACTATAAACGCAGATTATGTCAGAATATATTAACTAAGTATCAGTCGTTGGAAAAAGTCATGAATGGATGACCATATTGTTATGGAAGACTGCAGCATAGAATCTTGTTAGATATAGGTCTAGATATGTCTCTGTCTCTGGATATCATGCGGTTGCTATAATCTTGTATAATCTTGTAGCAGGAGAAGGTTGCAACTTTTGTTCTACTTTATAACTGTTCTTTAAGATTTTCTTTCTGGGAATGGGATTCTAAACTGAGATTCTCTGACAAGCAAATGAAGACCTTTCTTAGCTCTCACTAACGGACCAGTTTCGCGAATTTGCACAGGACGACGTCTAGAAAACTTGGCAAGTGTTTTAACACCTAATAGAGTTAATTATTAACCTTACTGGGAAAAAAATATATTCGCTCCAATGCCTGCCAGCAAAAAAAAAATATCGAAATTACCAGCCAGGAATCAGTTTACGTTAAAAAACGGTTTCCCAGCCAGCATTTATACTAATATTCTATTTTCCCAGCCAGGAATTTAAGAATCATTTCCCAGCCAGGATTCTATTCTAAAATGGTTTTCCACCCATGGCAACCGCTATTTTTGTTGTCACCTAGATTGATTGAAATGGGTATCCTATCTTTCATATTCGTTTTGGTTTGGTTTGGTTTGGTTTGGTTTGGTTTGGTTTGGTTTGGTTTGGTTTGGTTTGGTTTGGTTTGGTTTGGTTTGGTTTGGTTTGGTTTGGTTTGG